GCGAAGCGTACCGCAGATATAAATTTAAGAGGCTTTCCAGTTCAAATATCTCAAGAGCCGTTACCTAAAATGCCCAGCAATTTAAGATCTGAGGCATTCCGTCCAAAGGACGGCACTCGCGTTCCACCTGGGTCACGACAGGCAACACGTGGTGCAGAACTAGTAGGTCACAGCATCGGGACAGACCATCAGCAAAGATGAGGTACCGGTGTGTGACGTAAGTGGGCCCTATGTGCAGGCGGCAAAGAGCGACTTTCTCTCTTCTGCCTTTGCGGAAACATGACTGCCAAAGCTCGACCCGAGGCTCGATGACTTTGAGCTTATTGATGAGCTAATCCCAGCGGTTCTGCCATCGCTCCTGCATAAGTGACGAAAAGGCTGGTTCATCTCCTTTGCAGGTAACGGTGTCCACGAGTATGGTCGTCCCTTGCGTAGCACGCTTGGCTGCTGCATCGGCAAGGCCATTTCCACAGATCCCATGTGACTAGGGATCCAGTCCAAAACACCGTTTTTCCCGCTCGATCCAGTGAGGTTAGAAGCGAGAGAATATCTTGAGCAAGCAGGTCTGTGTAAGTTATCATATATCATTCAAAGGAAGCCATATGCCCCAAGGCTTTACTTTTATGTCGCTAGTTCCCTATGCTTTCGCATGTTTATCGGTGATATATGAATTCTCGTTGAAGTGAGCTGCGAAGGAGGAATCTGCGTGGGCCAGGCCTAATAACACGCCACTATTGTCTAGAAGGTCTTGAATGCGCACGCAGAACGGTGAAGTTAGTCGTGAACGACGCTGTCGAAAAAGCCGTAACATGCTACGCCGAAAGGGAAGCCATCAAAACGTCCAAGATCGCAGCGTCCAGCGTTCATGTCATCCAAGATCGCAATATCAAGCTTTCATAACATCCCACATGCATCCAATTCCGTACCAATTGGGGCGTTCATAGGATCCAAGCGCGCAACATCCAAAGTCGTAACATCCAGCGTTCATAGCGTCCAGCGATCACGGCGCTCGAACTAGTTTCGATTTCTTCCGCTAGCTGACACTACATCAGCATAATTCTTTTGACTCCTGCCGCTAGATGACAAAACAACGCCATATCTCACTCGTTTGTCAACAGATGGCAAAGCCAACTTGGCATTCCACTGATGATCATGTGATTTAGTGGAGCATGGTTGCTACGAATTGCCTAGAGCGCCTGGTAGCGGTGTCTGGCCTGGGCGCGGCCGTGCCCCGGAACTCACCGGCGGAATGAGCACAGGCACGATGGGCGGCGCCACGGCCGGAGACGCGGCGGCAGGCGCGGGATCGGCCGGGACCGCTGCGCCCGCGGGGCGGGCGGGGTCTCCTGCCGCCGCCGCCGCCGACAGCCCTGGCTCCATGCATAAGCAGTGCTGGCGTGACGGGATGGACTGGGTAAGGCTGGCAGCGCGGTCTAGAGGTGCATGTCGAAGGGTAAGGAGGTCATCTTCAAGCGTTTCTGTGCGTCAGAAGGGCGGTGCGGTGACGCCGCGGTGGGCCGCCGGCACCGCCTCGGGTGCGGCGGCTGCGGCGGCTGACTGCTGGCGGGTATCGCATCATCCGGCTCGCTGCGATGTCTGTCGGTACTGGCTGGCCGGCTGGTGTAATGGGGCAGTGCGCACCCGTCAGTGAGATCGAGCCTCTCTGAAGGAGACTCACTGTGGCTGGCGACTGAGACTTGCCGACTCTCAGGGGCGGATCCACATGGAGAAGCGGAGATGCGGGACCATAGCCGTGCCCATAAGGGGATGGCCACTGTCCCGCGTGCCCATAGCCGGTCAAACAAACGCAGTTTTTTAAACACAAAACGCAACAAAATTGAACGTCTTTGGGCTACCAGGCGACCAAGAACAGTTAGAACAGTCGCAAGCTAAGGTGAAGGCACCACCAGTAGACAAAAATAATTATTCACTGATTGAGAAGGTGGTAGTTAAGAGACTCTGAGGCTCATTACGATGCCCGGAGACCCTACGCTGTTTTCTGGGGTCTCATGTCCACTTGCTGGGTGATTCCGATCGCTAAGGAGCCTTCCTCGTTGCCCTAAATTTCTTTGCATTTGCTCGGAGGGTACTGCGTTGTGTCGGGACCCTTTATGCTGGCGTGCCTGAGCACCATTGTCGAACAGGGGCCCTCCGCAGTTTCTTCCCATTTGCCCGAAAAACTGGGTACGCTATAACCGGGACCCCATGTGTTAAACTGCGAGGGTATTTTGGGTTATTCAGGGGCCCTTCACGTTGGCTTCGGTCAACCTGCCGACACGCTCGCGATATGGCGATGGGCCCTTTACAAGGGTCTGGAGCCCTTCGAGTTCCGTGCCACGCAGAGGGCTCTACGTTGCTATTGGGGACCCCATCTGTTAACCCGCTCAGGCACACTCGATCGTTCGGGGCCCTCCAGAATGGGTGCTTCCATTTCTCTTTTTTCAAGGGCCTTGCGCTCTTATCAGGGATCCATCTGTTAAGCTGCTCGGGCACACTCCATCGTTCGGTGGCCCATCACACTTAGTCTTGGGTTCTTCCTATCAGCTTTTGACGGGATCCCATCTGTCAACGTGCTTGGGCACACTCGATTGTTCAGGGGATCTGCACATCACTCTTGGGTACTTTCTAGTTGAATTTAGGGTCCTACTATCCGCTAACAAGCCTGGACAGTCTTAATCGATCAAGGGTCCTGCACAGATTCTTTACATTCGTCCGAAAGGCTCCATGCGCTATTGCCGGGGTCCCGAATGACAGAGTACGCTCGGTTGTTCAGGGGTCCTTCATATTGGTATCGGGTTCTTTCCACTTCATGAAGGACCCTATGCTGTCGCTGGGGCCCGTCGGCGGTAACACACCGAGGTACTCAATGCTCAGGGGCCATTTACATTGATCTAGGGCTCTTTCCCTCTCATCTCATTTGCAGGAAACCCTTCACTCGTCCGGGGCCTTTCCGTTAACCTGCCCGGGCCCTTTTTATCGCGTGGCGGCCCGCTGCAATGATCTCAAACACTTCACATTTGCTAGGGCACCATTAACTTGCTGTCTTGGGCCTCATTCGTTCATTTGCCAAGGCACTCTCCATCGCTAGCGGGCATTAATTCATGTACACTGGTCTTGGATTATTCCCCTCTGCTCAGAGGGTCCTGTGCTCCGGTCGGACCCTAACGTTAGCCTGCCGGGGTGCTCCCGGTTAATCAGGGGTCCACCATATTGGTCTTAATTCCTTCTTGCTTGCTCTGAGGACCTTATTCTGCTGACGGGAGCTTCTTTACTGCTCCACCGTGGCACCCACGATCGTTCAGGTGCCGTTCCTATTGTCTTCTGCTTTCCAGTACTATAGGAGGGCCTACGACGTTGACACGGACCTAAATGTTAATAACAAGGATTGGGGCTTTACGTCTCACCGAGTGCCAGGAACATTGCGAGACCGGTGACTTAATCAGGTATCATGTGGGATGCAATGGTTGTGGCCGGTGCCCGAACCCCAGACCGACATGTCCAGAATCGAGCGCAATAGCCAAATATCGCCATCGTCCGAACCTCAACCTTCATCGACTGGGACACACTTGATCACTCCGAGGCCCTCCAAATTGGCCTGCAAAATTGAAGGAAAAATAAGGAGGTGAAAAAGTATGTAATCTTCCCCCAAAATATGGACGTCTCCCAGATTGACACACTTCACAAACTTAGGGGAGGGGGTAGAATCCTGAGCTGAATAGGAAAGTAAGTACATCCCCGATTTGTAGATTTGTGCGACTATGATATTGACGATCTGTGATATTGATGACATCTATATGACGACTATTGACGATCTATAATAACCATTCTCAATAAGGACAAGAGCAAAAATGGTATAAATCGGTATTTCAGAACCATTACTACCTCCTATCATGAGGAGTGCCATCAGACTTTAACATCGAATCCACGGTTCTTCTCAGAGGGAGGAAGGCTGGGTTGTGACTGCTATAGTGAGCCAGCAGCCCTTTCAGGGTCTTAAAAAGGCGGTCTGGATAATCACAGGTCTGATCCGGATCTACCTTGATCGAATCCTCTCGCCCACTTATCCTAAACTGTCAGTGCCTCTTGTCGCTGGGGATAGGATGCTGAATCGCGGCACCGCCAACGAAGGCTAAAAAATTAAGTCTTAGGCAGGTATTCATGACACTGCAATGCGAATGCCACTTGCAAAGTCAACGTGCTTTAAAAATCACGCTGAAAGTTACCATCTTGTCAGGAATAGAAATGCCATGTCATTCAATCAATTCATGCCTTGTTCCGTGTATTTTTAACAACGTGACAGCAGTAATAAAAGAAAACGCCTTTGGCAATGTAGATAGAAGCAGCTTTGCGGCGCTCCTGATATACATGCATCATAATTTAACCTTACCAAGTTCCAATGCAGTGCCTCGTAAATATGGCCGACCAGCACCAGGTACGCGCGTGACATCACTTGTGCGCGAGGATTGTGTGAGACACGGTGCGCTGCGCTCGACAAGCCACGCACGAGCACAGAGCCACCGGCCACGGCCCTGGTTGGGCGCAATTTGGCACTGACACTAACGATAATGCCTGGCTTGGAATCCTCCCCTTTCAGTTCCAAAGCACATACATATAAGCAGCGTTACTGCGACAACAGTGAACAATTAGATATACATGATTCCACTTGCCCAGCTATCACCTTTTGCGCCGACGACCAACACTGAACGATAGTAACGCAGTGTTTGGACATCAACAGCTCTCGTACTATTTGGGCTTCCCAAAATTAAGCCCATTGTACCAAATCAACCTTTGGTCTCCTTTCAATAAGTCACGCGTTTCAACATGCGACACGCACACGTCACACGCACGCGTCTTTTGATGCGTGGGCAACCGGTCACAGTCGGCAACAAATTGCTACCTGTCTTCACACAACTCTGCAACACGCTGATAAAGCTTTTGTTCTGCCGTCAGAACTGTTTGGGGGAGGGAGTCCCAGGACGTTTGGAGGGGGGGGGGGGGGGGAGAGAGAAGGAAGGCGACTGTATCATCATGCCAGAACCAACGGGACCTGTACGTTCTTCCTTGGCGTCCGAGAGCGCCCTGTTCCTGTCATTTCGCTACAGCTACGGAACGCAAGACGAGACTTCTAGACCTGTACGGTGGGGTGCTCGGAGGCGGCCCCACCCGAGCACGTTCGCCAGGTCTGGGCACAGACCGGCCTTCGCCCTGCCGCCGTCTCGTTCGCGCTGGAGTGGAGGGTCGACGAAATCTGACCTTAGCCACTTCCACATTGGTGGGTCTGGCCACTCGCGTCCGGGCTGGCCGGGCCATGAGTGGCCAATAGGAATCAGGCCAAGCCGCCCTGCCCAGTGCAGGCCCACGGATGAGATTGTCGCTCTGCTCTGCGTCATCAGGGGCAGCTGTCATCTTCCTCCCTCAGAAGATGAGGACTTGCTCGCCCCAGCTGACCTTGGGATCAGATGAGCGTGTTCTGGTCGCTGCTGACCTCGAGGGAGCCGACCGAGCCGCCGGTGCCGACGGCCGGCCGCAGCAGCGCCGTGTGCTCGGTGTGGTCCGAGCCGAGCGAGCCGCTGGCCGGCGACAGGTCGCCGGGCAGACTGCTCACCTCGGCTGCTGTCGTCACCGGGCTGCCCTGGCTCGGCGTCGACTCGCGCAGCGTCTGCAGCTGACACAGGTCCTCCTCGTCCAGCCACAGGCTCTCCCGGTAGGCGGCGCTGCTGCTGGTTGGACTGACATCACTCAGGATGACCGGCTGCGGCGCGGCTTCGGCCGGCGGTGGACGCGGAGACAGCGGCAGCGACACCTCGTCGATGGTCTCAGGGATCTCGCAGGGCGCGGCGGCGTCCGGCGTGCTCGGCTCCGCGCCACTGGCGCCTGTGTCTACCTCGCCGGTCTGGTCCTCCAGTGCGCTCATCTGAGCAATGGCACACACAGGTGAGTCGTGCGGCGATCGCGTACAAACTGTCATTAACGCCGCGTGCGGCGAGCATGGAGGGCAACGCGCCAACGTCACACGATAGTCACGCAGGGTGGCGAAAATAGTAACACGGAACAGGGACCCAAAACAGGGAGCTGTAATATCTGCTATGGTCTCGAATGAATCAAAAAGGGCACCTTGAAGGGGGGGGGGGAGCAATGGCTGTTCTGACGAGCGACTGAACACAAAAAGACGCTCTGATGTTCAAAAACTCGTCTGACTTTGCGTGATTTTACCCCAGGGAGTGCTCTAAAGCTGTCCAGTATTTTTCTCTTTATTTGCAAACTCTGGTGGTCTTACGGGGGTCATGATCCAGTTATCACTTGTTTTGGCCTCCGAGTAAGCGTCATTATCTCCAAACCTTGAGAGCTGAACACGTTGTAGAGCTTGCCAGGAATCACTGCTGCAGTAGTTGACACCCACAACAGTATAATAAATCGAGCTGCATGCGCAAATACTAGTTCCAATTCTGTCCATTTGGCGGGAACGCGTGCCATCTGGGTGGACTGACGCACCTCGAAGTTGTTTCCCCGGCGACTTTTCCGGAAACGGAACGTCTTCCTGCTCTGCGCCTTCTGACGCTGCAGCCGGTGGCGCTGCGGCCTTGATGTGGAGCCCTCGTCAGCCGAGCCGGGGCTCATCGCCTGGTCCAGGTCCGTTGCTGAGTCGCCTGCAGTTACCGTTCAGTAAATTGGAGGGCGCACACCTAGACCTGTGTCAACGCGTCAATCACGGCACTAGAATGCTACACATATTTGGCGTACAGTTTTTATGCAGAGCCCGTAATAAGCTTTATGCATTTAGCTGTGTTCTGAGGCCGCGAACATTACCGCACGAACAGACACACACACACACACACACACACACACACATACTCACAGGCATTGCATACTAGGCCATGCTCTGCGATTTTCAGCCTTCTAGGAGCATGCGAGAAGCAGACGCGTATATAACCAAGTCTAGATTATCAGTTGCCTAAATCTATGATCTTTGTTTTGGCAACGTTGAGCACTATGCCTCTATTAACACGCGCCCAGGTGGCCGGCTAGATGCCCTTCGCTCGGGTGGGGGGGTCAATTTGGCCTCCCCTGAGATTTCGTGAACTAAGAAAGCTAGAAACACCAAATTTACGGGATGTCTTGACCTGTACATGGACTCACTTACGTAAAAAGTTTTGATCTTTCTAGGTCATGACCTTTAGGCCAAATAAGGCCAAACAAGGTCAAATTCCAGATTTGTCTCTTAAGTGCCTCCAGAACCTAGGCAACTTTCCAAGCGAAGGTCACAAGCCCATTTGAGGTCCGTGACCTTGTTTGACCTTTTGAAGGCCATGTTGACCAAAATCATAGGAGACTGCTCTGAGTTTTGCCTCTGAATAAGCGACAAAGATTACGCTAGACGGTATGTCCCTAAAACAAAATGTCGACCCGGCTTATCTTAGGTCAATGACCTGCTCGGACCTCCAAGAAGTCAATGGAAGATGTATAATGCGGTTCCTCCTGTCAATAAATTCGAAATGAGCACCAGAAACTATCCCATACAGCAAGCCTTAGAGTAATAAATCAGGTTGGTTTTGTTCTTAGTCTGACCTTCATACCTGACCATAGGTCAACGTAATTTGCTCATTCAATATTTGTGGTGCCTAAGAAAGCATCTCAGAGATGTATGGCTTCGTCAAACACTCCGTTGTTGAATCAGATTGAGCGATTCCCTAGAAATTGCCTTCGCTGAAACCATGGCCTGACTTTAACCTGCCATAGGTCAGCGACCTTACAAGGTACATCTAAATGTGTCATGTCAAACGATCCGCTATTCAATTGTCTACAGGTATGCAAAATTTGGCGCGGCTACACCGCGCTGTTCGGAAACCATTCTGGAAAAAACCTTCGGGGGGTCATTTTGACCCCGTACCCGAGCGCATGTTAAAAATGTCGTTTGTCTGCATCATCAATCAGCATTCTGCTATATTTTAACCGTTATTTGATCTGTTGATTGTTCGTCATGTATGTGTATTGTTGCGATACTGTATGAGCGTTTGAAAGTCGGTGAAATCAGAGCTCAGCCAATGTGTCGAGTGGCAAATTTTTCAAAAACGATGTTTGTCTTTCTGTGTCTGCTTTTTAGTCCCGAAGAAGCTGGAAAGCGGAAAAATTGACATTGACATTGAACTTTGTCTCTTATATGAACAAAGGCTATTTACTCTACTTCACATGCATCAAATTGAAACATTGAACGAAATATGAAATATTAAAACGGAGTACATGAGAAATACCCAGTCTCCGACATTCACGCGGCAGTGCTTTTTTTTCTTCGCCCAACGGGTAGGCTATGGCGGCGATGCGAGCGGCCACCTTCTCATGTCTGCGTGCCCTCTACCCGCTCGCCCCCTCCAGCCGCGTCGTCGACACAAACCTATCTGCGTGCCCTCTACCCGCTCGATCCCTCCAGCCCCGTCGCCGACACGAACCTGGCGTGGTGTCCGAGTCGGCCGTGCTGTGGCGGGAGCCGCGCTTCCGCATAACAAACAACGACTTTCTGTAGAGCCGGGGCTCGGAGGTGGCGGTCCTGGCGTCAGCGACGCCTAGCGGCCGGCCGGTGCAACCACAACGGCCAACAGCGCGGCGCACAGAGCGGAGAGAAGAAACAGCAGCGAGGTAGGTCATGCGGCGAAGACAGCCAACTGTAGCGCTCCTCGACGGCCAGTAGACAGATTCACAGGCTCATTTTAACCATGGTTGGTGTGGTGGGCACATGTTGGAAGTGGTTACACGGTTGGGTTGGGTGTATAGGTTTCATTTTAGGTATGGGTGTGGGTATGAGGTGTCTCCCAGATATTTTTGGTGAGAAGTTCCAAGATTGAGGCGGGCGGTGGACTTGATTGACCTGCCCCGCCGTGCGGCGGCCGGATCGGGTACAGAGGATCGGTGTGCGTGGAGGCCTCTGCCGGCCGCGGGGAGGTGATCGGCGCGGGCGCCCGCCAGCCCGATCAGCGGGCGACAATCGACACAGGTGCCCACCGGGCTGTTGCGGACACGCTAGTGGAAAGCACATCAACTGGTCCAATGACGGCTACATCAAACACATTTTTACACGCGCACACTATCGATCGCAAAAGGTTAAGGGAACCGGCAGAGGAACGTAAAGAGGGCCATGAGCTGCACCGCAAACCTCAATGAAGAGCCGCCACTAGCAACATGTGTCGCGACCACGGTTTTAGTGGAGCTACACCGAAATCAGCACTCATCACCGGCACCGGAGATGGCTGGCGACGCTGCCCTCACCTTCATAGGTCGCGGCTGTTCGACAGATCCTATCAACTAGCAATGCATCTTTATTCTTCCCTGATTTTTGCATGCATTCCACACTATAGGAATCTCAGTGCTGCAGAAGCCCAAAGCCAATTATTTACTAAGCAGGACTGACCAAATTTTGAGCGTACTTGCTTGTCAAATGAATTCCCAGCGTGACAACATGGCATCCGGGCGTCCCCCTCCCCCTCCGCCAACCCTTACGTCAGCACGGCTATCCCTTTCTCAATGGCCGCAAATTCACTCGACACGGCTTTCATGGTCTCCCTTACGTCACGTCAAAACCGTAGCATGCCCTCGAGCCTGTGTTTTTCTTTTTACAGGCACATGAAAAGGCTGCGTGAGAAAGGGAACACACGCATATCATGCAAATCCTTTATGGCATGGTGAACAATATACGCGTTACGGACAGGCAGCACGTTTCTTGTTAAATGGAAACCTGTTTCTACATTGCACGCGCCTGTTTCTTCAAAATGGTTGCGAGCAAAAGGCTCAGGTGTATGCAGGGAGGATAGGGAGAGGGGGAGGTTGAATTATTATCCATAGCACACCTCAGTTTTTAAAGCCCCTCTTTCTGCCTAAAAGCGCTAATGCAAGCTCCCATGACACACACATGGTCAATAGGTACTACCTATGGCAACATAGTAGACATCTTTCTGCCATGCCACCTCCGACCAGTCCGACTGGTGCTCGGCACGAGCTGCGCCGCCCGACAGCGCCCACCGGCCGTCCAACGGCGCACGTCAGCGTGCGCGCCACACCCACCGGCCCGGTCCTCGGCTCCGGCATAGCTGGTGCGACGCAGGAAGCGCTCCACGGCGCCGCGCGAGCGCATCGAGTAGACGCGCATGGTGCGCTGACCGGCCGGCTGGGGCCAGTGCTCGCTCTTGACGCTGGCGTCCCGCTGCAGCGAACGCTGGCTAGACACTACAGGCCGGGGCACGGCCGGTCAGCTGTTGCCGACGGGGACGGCGTCCGGGACGGCCGGGGTCGGGCGGGCTGGTACAGCGGTCTGTGTGGGTCTACTGGGATCGGGCGGACTGATGCATTGGTCTACTGGGATCGGGCGGACCGATGCAGTGGTCTGGGTGGGTCTGGGCTCTGGGGAGGGGACACTGACCGCTGTATCAGGACGGGGCGGGCGTTTATTTACATTTGCATACAAGTCGTGTATGTACACCGTCGCTGAAAGCAATCGGTTATTGGCGGACGATCGCATCCCTTTGGCTGATGCACAAAATGCACTGATTTGGTTATGAAAATGGGTAAGATAGTTCATGTTGAGAAGACCGAGACATGACCCAGCGGACAGCCATATTGCAAAACGGTGGTCGCGAACGTTGGCACTGCGCAGTGGAGGGTGCAAACGCCGGAAAAGCATTTGGAGCTCAGGTCCCGAACGTGTCGGGTGTTACGGCTGCCGAAACCTCATGAAGCATGATGTCGCTTGCACAGGTGCGGAAGCTCAGCACTGCTGCGTCGTCTCTTGACGCGCCAACGGCAGGTCAGACAACGGCTCATGATCACGCGTGCACGAATTCGAGCCGGAACAGGCGACAGGCCTGGCCATCGAACAGTCACTAGAACGACCCATTAGATAGCTTTGGAGAAATCAGACTTTGTTTAGACCATACAGCGCACAGTTCCACACGCTACTTGGTAAACACTCTTGGAAAAGGAGCTAATCACACCACGCATATTCTGGATACCTTTGGAAGATTTGGGTCCCTCCGACACGGAGCCAGTCCACAGACGAGAGCGGAAGTCGCTGTGCAGGTCTACCACCACTGACTTGCGATGGTCGAAGTCCCCTGGAACAGACCATTTCGACTGAACCATCATTCGAGTTAACAATCGCCATGATTCGCCGTTTTTCATAACGCGAACTGATGGGGACGGGGGGGGAGGGAGGGTTTGATGCGACCCCCTGGTGTTTCAAAAATGATGAAGAAGGAGCTTAGCAAAAACACCAGTGGATTGATACCAATGAGATCTCACGAATAGTACTAGTTAATTGCCGTTTTGTTAGACCAATAATTGATTCCATTATCCCAGTTCAAAGGTGAAATCTCCCCGAAAATCGCACCTATTCAGCTTTACATCATACATACGAGTCCATGTATTGCGGCGACGCACTATCTACGAAGCCGCGTTCCTTGTTTGACTCTGAATACAATGATGTATAGTTTTGTAGGTTTTGAGCATGCGTTTGTGATACACAGCTTCGTTCATGTGACACTGTCGACCCGCCGAGCACGTCCCGCGGCATCGCCCGTTGCCGTCGCCGGCCGCGCCAAGCCATAAATCGACGCGAGGTGATTCTCAAGATCACCGCTGCTCCGAAACCAGGCTAGCTAGCGAGACGTTTTTGGCATCAATACATGTGCAATGGATGTCACATAGGCCACTGACAGTTCGGGTACGATCGCAAAAATTGGCCGGAGGGGTATTCTAAAAAAAAAAACATAGGAAGGGGATTACATCGACCTCCTGCCAGGGCAAGGGTTAAGTCATCACCAAGTCATCATTAAGATCTGTGTATTGGTCAGTGGGTCACATAAGTAAGAGTTAAGTGCATAATTCGTGGTGTTTCGGGTACTGCACAGTTGTTGCAGTTCAAGAGTGTATTTTTCGAATAAAGTCTCCCGCACCATTTTGTACAAAATAAAACATTGCATGCACATCCCGCCCAGTCAATTTGTTTCGAGAAAACATTTGACGGTGACACACCCAATACACGATGGAGCGCAAGGACGATGGTCCAGACTGTAATTTGCAATTAATCCATCCGCAGTGCTGGTTACTGTTCGGACTTATCTTAACATTCAGCTGAACTTTTATGACAACGAATATATCCCCACCTTGCTCTTGTCGGTCTGCCCACCGCACCATCACTGACCGGTTTTGGAGTTGGCGATCTCTTCCTTCACCAGCTTCATTTCGTGAGCCAACTCCATCAGAACAGAGCCCTTGGACTTAATGCGTGGCATCTCCTCCTGATTGCCAGCTAGCTTCTCGCGAATCAGCTGCTTGAAGTGGACCTCGTCGGCGAAGTCGTATGTCGGTGATTCCAGCTATCAAACATGGGAAAGATCAATGGAGTCAGGAGGTAAGTTCCTTGCACGTTGGGCTCTAAACGGCGATAGTTTTTCGATTTTTTGTATCGAGACAAGGTAACCGTTACATTTCACCGAATGGTTTTCATACGTATCTGAGTATTATGACGTGTCGTCCAAGATGGGCTGGTCGTTTCGAAGGTGCGGAGGTTGTGCGTGTGCGGATACACATATACGATACCTTCAGTCTGACTCCTTCCTACACAACGTCATGCTTTCCTACATAGCGCATTGGTAGCTGCCCTCAACTCGCGTCTCACGCGAGAGTCTCCCAGCGCGCGCGTCCGCGCTCACATGCTGTCTGATGAAGGGTAGTAGCAGGACGAAGACGGGTGTGGGGTAAGTGACGACGAAGTCCAGGAAGTCCCAGAGTGCCAGGCCTCCGCAGCCCTGTGACCCCAGCTCCTGCACAGTGCGCGCCACGCGGTGCCAGTCCATGGCCAGGTTCTTCTCGAAACAGATCAGCAGGATCTTCAGCCCTGGGAAGGTTAGTGGCGTCGTCAGAGTTCAGCTCCACCCCGCCCTGTGCTGGGATGACAACTTCAGTGCTCGGGGGAGCAGAAGAGCAAGCATCGGACAGGCTCAAACTGGAACACACGTGACTGGGCAGCACAACATCAGACACAGCTACCTCCCATCATCATCCTGCACCCGACGCCGCGAGCGCGAGTCACACTCGGCTGGCGTGAGGTAACGGTGCCGCCGTCGTGGTCTGCCACCCACCCAGGAACGCCACTGAGTAGATGGACGGCCGTACGGCGCTGTGGGTGCGCGCCTCGCTGGTCGAGTGCTGGCCGGCCTCGGTCTTGTTGAGGCCGCTGGCGCCGGCGGCGCCGGCTGCCAGGCCCGGCGTCAGCTTCGTCGAGGCCGGCGGCTGCAGAGCGTGTAGCATCACGGTCAGCGCGAAGCTGATGTCCGCCTGCCGCATCTTGGGAACGTCTGCAAACAAGCAAATGGGAGAGAACGTCAAAACAACAGACGCGTTGGGCGAGGGAAGGGAGCAGGGTAAGTAGCGTCATCGTGCTTGACTCATTCGAGATGAATCGAGCACGTGGTCAGGCCTTATCAATGAGCGCCCTTGTGATGCCTCACTAGGCCCGACGTCATTGGCCAGGGTAGCAACGTGCAGTGTGATAACGGGGATCATTACCAAATTAGCTCTTGTCAGGTCTTGGGTGCTATGAAACAGTGTGAACTGCCGTAGTAAAAGTACGAACTTGCAAAGATGCAGACTATATTGATGTTAAGCTATACCCACCCGTTTTGCCTTTTTTCCAAAAAAAAAGACTCACGTGTGAGACATCACACAGTCAACGTTTTACATTGTAGGCGAAATATGACTGTGCTGGTGCCCCAATTGACTAAAAAATTTCCAATATCATGCGTAACAATGCTTGCGTGGCTATGGCGGTGCCTTGGACAACAACTTACCTGTTCGTCCGCAACCAACCCTGAGACAGAGTGGCAGCAGCAGATTCATCAGCATGTTCTCCGTCTTTTCGGGGCTGGGGAAGACGGAACTTCCACCACACACCTGCTCCAGCGAATGCGCCTCCTGCATGCCACACAACACGTCAGCCCTTCAGGCCACACTAGTTAAGCGTGTTATGATCCTCACGGTAATTGTCTGGCTTGCGCGGCACGGCAACTTGCACGTCAATTTCCGAGGGCGGGGGGCAGCATTATCTGGCCAATTAGAAGTACCTCATGCGGATTTCACTAACAAGTTGTTATGTCTTAATTAGAAATAGTACCTGGCACGTCAGGTGTGCGTAGCAAGATTGCGATTTGTTATCACACCATATGTGTATGCCCTGTTTACATATGTAGACGATGCATTCTTTCAACAGATGCCTGGAAATAACTGCGTCATTTATATACGATGTCTGCAACAAGGTATGTTTCCCAATAGTCGCTTGTTGAAATATCCACAAAATATTGACCACCACGTGGCAGCTTTTTCCACGAATCATCACGATGCCAGTCATAACGTCAGTTTGTGGAGTCGGGAAGAAGTGCGCATTGTCTCATGTGCGGAAGAGTGTTCGAAGGAGATGCACAAACGCATACGCACAAACTAATCGCAACCGCCAACTGAATATCCTTGCGCTTATCGCCCAGCGAACCGTGGTCTACTGCCAAGCGCGGTGCGTCTATTGCAGACTAATAAAACTGGATGGCTAGCAGACTACCCGCTACGGCCCGAGCATGCGTCGCGCTGGTATGGACACCAGACATGGGATGTTCTGAAATCGCAAAGGCAAAATGAGTAGCGTCCAAACAGGAGATCGAGCATAGGGTTCTAAGACACTCGTGTGCCCAGGCGGCACGATCAGTGATGCAGAAGGGCCAGAACAATTTAGATTAACAGCTGTTGAACACTGTTTTATTCAGAGGTGTTCAACCAGCTGGTTTAATTTGACTGAGCAATGCACAAAGCGAAGATATTTGGACGATACTGATCCCCTAAGTGATGCAGCCACAAAACTGATCCGTCTACGGCAAAGAGTTCAGATGGTGTATGCTCAGTTTTCTTTTCTGGTTGAACACGCCCGGTTGAACTATTCGCTAATATCTAATGTGCATTTTTGTTTTATCAGGCTATTTTATTTCCTCACCAACGATATGTGCTCAAACATCTGAAACACCAGAGCAGTGGGGGTTATGGTTTGACTTAAGTTAAACGGAAACCACCAATCGCAATGGATGTGCAAAGGGAGTACCGCCCTGAAACAAATGAAGCCGCGCATATTCATACACTACGAAAATCCGCCCCGCACGAAACACATCTATCCAAAACTCGGCCACCAGCGTCACCAGCGCAGCACTGGAAGCTCGCAGTCATAAAAAAACGCGCGAGGCTAGAGGTCTACTCCACATGGCTGACGGGCTGGCCTGCCCCTCGCTGTCACGTACCCCCTGCGCCAACATCTGCATGGCTATGAGCCGGACTACGGTGGAGGCGAAGTGCTGGGGCGGCGGGTAGTGGACGGCGGCGCCGGTGTCGGCGGCCGCGCCGTCCGCTGCCGCCGCGCCGCTCTCGCCCACGATCAGCGACTGACAGATGAGGATGAGCGCCTTCAGCGGCGGCAGGTGCGCGATGTACGGGTACTTGCAGAGCGTGGTGTACACGCCTTTGAGCAGGTTGGCGGCTGCCACCCAGTCGGTGTGACGCTGGAGATGGGAAGGGTGACAGGTCAGCTCAGAGGGTCTCGGTCCGCTGAGGGTCCCCGGGTACCTCGGGACGAGGGCGGCGCAACTAGCACGGCTTTGGCCGGTGAGCCGGAACTTCCGACGATGAGACAAATGGTGAGAGAGGGGGGGGGGGGGGGGAGTTATGGAGAAGTTGAAGCTGACAACTGTCCCGACGATATAGCGCCAAGATAACTCACACCCTATTCCGCACCTACACCCATGTCTGAGGTCACCGCATACCCTGATGAAGCTCTTTTTGAGTATCTTCGTGAAGACCTTCTCCAGTCGGCGCGTGATGATAATGAGTGTCGGCTTCAGCGCCTCTTGAGACCAGTCCGGGTACGTGAGGATCTGGTTCATGTACTTGACCAGGCCACGGCACGACATTGTCTCCGGATCGTAGGGGGCCACCTTCAGCAGACTGTGTGCGATCTCTGCCAGACGCTGCGCAGCAGAACACGCAACGTCTCAGAACGCGGCCACGACAAAGGGTCACGAAACGCCACCCACAATGGCGGTAGTTGACACTGTCCAGGACGCCCAGAAAAATGGACTTTATCGGAGAGTGAATGACCCCAGGCGTAAACCTGTGGGACTTGAGGGGCGATGCCAGAACGGTTACTTGGGAACCTTAAGATCTGCATATCCCCCTGACATGAATTAAATCGGTGTGCGACTCTGAAAGAATATGGCAAACGTCCATGAGCCGCCAAAAGGTCAGCACTGACTTAAGTCCTTACGTTCCGTTTTACAGGAAACAGGCGAGGTCATCATGAGCTGAATCACCGCAAGGGAATGCAACATGTAAAGCTAGTTTGCTGCACCGCCTTGTCTTTTCCGCTCGCGAAAAGCATCGACGCATGAAACAGAAACATTCCACGAAGGAATGCCAGCCGTTCAGATCACGGTGTCACACTGCGGCGTGCGACTTGCAGCTCGCAGCTTAACATGATGCTATTCATCAACATCATGTAGGCTGTGTCATGCCACATGAAACTTTTTCCTTTATGCGTCGACTGTAACAGTCACTGCAAGGTGTTTTCCTAAGTGGCTGACCACCTCCCTGGACTCACGCTGTGGCATTTTGCGTCCAGCAACTCGACCTGCTTGCTCTCACTTCCAGCGACCGGCTTCTTGCTGAGCTCCTGCAGTCTGGCCGAGCAGCGGGTAAGGAAGTCGGCCACGATGTTGAGCAGGGTGTCTCGCGGCCGACGGAAGGCCTCGCGCAGCACCTGCAGGCCCAACAGTGGCCGACGGCATCAGCTCATCAACTCGTCCAGGGCGGGCTGGCGTCTCCAACAGGCCTCTCACGCCATGGCCAACACTGCGTCTAGAACACATGACCAATACCGCATCTACCCCGTACGCGGCTGCGACAGCCGACACCGGCGTCGGCCTGGCACTAGCGCTAGGGACACATCAGCCGGACAGTTCAGTGTCGCGAAAGTCGTTTTTTCTATGAGCTGGGCCACCGTGCTCCACTTGCCTCGGAGTCTTCCATGTCACGCTCCATGAAATTGGTGCGTCTCGTGTCGCTGACAAACATGCGCGAGTGTGAGTCCTCGTCCAGGTCGAGTGCGGCGTTATGCGCCTCCTGCGCCGCCGTCCTGGTGAACGTCTTCATGCTGGACGTCTTGAACTCGGTGCTGCCACGAGTCGGACCCGTGTAGTTCCTGCGGAGATTGACATTGTATGTTCTGATGTGTCGCAGCATTTCCCTGGCGCAGCCCATGCACATGTTATTCTGATGATATTCCGAACGGATGAAATCGATTGCCTTCAATATGGTTGACGTGAAAGGGAAGTTTTAATCTATTCGCTAAGCTAGAACATGGAAGCGAAATAGTTACTTCAGACACGTGAATACCTGTGCGGAATCAACACAAAAGGCACTGCAGTAAACACCAGAACGATGCAAACTTATAGTACCCAATAATTATGCCCAAAACGTCAACCAAAACTCAACACACTAAAAAATTGGAATCCGTGAAATTCCGTGAAAGTGACCGTGAGTATGGAACCCGTGCACACGTGTTTCGAATAGCGACCCGTCCCCCACCCCGGCCTCACTTGGCCAACGGCTCGCAGTTGTGTAGGAGCGTCTTGATGGACAGCGCCAGCTGGTGGATCACCTCCTTCTCGCCCTTCAGCTCGGCCTTGGGGCCCGCCGACGTGGCCACGCTAGAGATGCGCTCTACGTGACGCAGGTAGAACGGAATCACTGCCTCCAGCACGTTCAGCATCTGGTGCGCGCGCCGGCTGTCGGCCGCGTACGCCACCACCGTCACGCACAGGCTGATGACGTCCATGATGGTGACGTCGTCCGTCTCCTCGTGGTAGCAGAAGTCGAGCGCGCGGAGTGGCTTCTCGATGGTCACCAGCTCGATGGTGTTGAGCGGGTCCGGCGAGGGCGTCTCCAGAGATATCAGCAGACGGAACAGCGTGTCCGGCTGGATCTGCGCGGGCGGCCAGGCGGCGCAGATCAGCGGGCTGTCTCCAGCCGGAGCAGGCCGCAGCCTCACTCTAGCGACACAGTGAGCAGTGGCAAGCTAAGAGACCAGTGATATGCCTCTCTTCATCCTATTGGAGTCGCTTGGCTCACAAAGCCATGATAAGCCTGAAGGCAATGATATACAAGTGGTCGTAATGTAGTGTTTGTCAACAGATGACCAAAAAGTGAGTTTTGGCAAATCATCCCCCTTCTTCTTGAGCGCAAAAGTTCGACGCCATCAAAGACAATGTTCAGCCGAGCGAACCTTGTTGCAAGACAACGTTAAGCCAAGCGGACCTTGTTGGCATCAGCGAACGGAGAGTCTGTGTTCAGGTCCAGCATGGGAGCAATGCTTCCCAGCATCTGTAACACGAACGGCTTGCGATGTAGCACGTAGAACTGCTTGCAGATAAACTCTACAGTCCTGCAGAGCAGTGAATTCGACTGGTGGTTGCTGTACACCTGAAGGATGGTGGGCATGATCAGCAGGTACCTGGGGAAAAGAGATACAGCGTTAGTCGAAGGGTTGGTCAGAGCAGAGCACTACTCAGCACAGCCAGAGCGGCAGCAGAGGCATTTGCAGCTGGAAAGTAAATTACTCCTGGTATCTTTGTTCATACGGTTGGCATCGCGGTCAGTAACAAACGTCGAACGAAACAGACGTCCAAAATTTCTTCTATCGATTACACCCAAAGGGGTGCTTGATCGTTAAAATCATATCCAAATGGACCTATCCTACCGATATGGCCAGCGGTTCAGCATCCGACCCACCCATTGCTGGAGAACACGTTCTTGAACTGATGGGCGGCGCTGATGTAGGTAGCCATGACGAGCCTCAGCATCGCGCTGTCTTCGCAGTGCAGCAGCAGGCAGCCGTTCACCACATTGATGAAGAGGTGAATGTCGCCGGAGTAGGCGAAGTTCCCGGCCATACCCTCGAACATGCGCGACATCATCTTCACCCAAATCAGCTTGTGCATGCTATCCAGGCATTTCAGCTCCTGGAAGGTCATTGAGCTGTCGCAATTTCATTGCCTAACCTCCGAAGAGCTACCGCGGGTGTTAACGTCGCAAGCTCTCCTACTGTCGCATAATGAGTTTGGCCAAACCGCGCGTTAACCAGATCTGAACCCGGTCATATTATCACGAGCCCGGTGCGTCGCCGGCGGTGCCACACATGTTCCCATTCCAATCACCTTCCTTGCATCAACGTAAGGCAAAGGTGAAAGGTCTGCTCTGTGGAGATGGCATACTAGACTATGCCACATGATTAGGTAACCAGACTTAACTACGCACTATGCCACAGAGGCGTCTCTCCAATGCAGACGAGAGTTTCTGGAGTCACCCGCGCCTCTGCTCAGCCTCCTTCAGATTTGTAGCCAGCATCGCCGCTCCCTCCCACACCTCGAACATGGTTAACGAAGATCCAAGGAAATTATAATTTGGGATCAGGTTTAGGATGCGTTTGACCGTACCTGCTTGCCTTCTTCCGCCCGTTCTGACTCGTCAACACCCATCGCTGGCCACAAAAGTATGAGAAGGTGACAGCTTAAATGCTGCGAACAAAGTGACGAGGATTCGGCTGCGCGGAAGTAAGCATCCTATGGCCCTTTTGTCACCTTTCCAAGATGACCTCCTTTGTATAGGTGGAACTCGGTTTCAAGAGCCTTGCGCGGGAACGCCGGCAGCTTGGTCAGCTCCTCGTGGAGGGAAGAACACCCGCTGTGCCACCTGTAGAATACATTGCTTCGCTGATTGCTGCGTTACCAGTTAGGCTAGCACATCCACGAACTACTTAGACACTCCGTGAGGACCTGGTACACAACCTGGAATCGCACGCAGCCACAGATGAGGGGCAGATTTCCTCATTCATTTTCAAATATGCTAGATGCTTCATGATAAGATATGCAAGATCAAGTAAGATGAAAAACGTAATATGCAAATGAAACCTTCGCAAGCGTTGTTAGGACGCAGTTACCAGAAAATATGCTTTCGAGGCAGTCTATTAAGGCATTCTTGATGTCCAAATTAACGCAAAGTTCACCTGCATTAAAAGTATCATGTGTAATGACATTATCTCGCAGTGCTTAACAAAGATCTTGACGGCCTGGCCAAAGGGCGTTAAAGAGGCGTAGTTGAAATCAACCCCAAAGGGCCAACGTGCTTTTTGCAGCTGAGAAGTTCAGGTAGTCGCTGGTTTGCCCAATGCATCGAATCAAATGAACTAATGCTGCTGCGCTCAGAGCGTTCAGGCTCCAGATCTCTATGCTATCGCAATTCTTTCGGACATTATTCACCTCTGCGACTACTGCGCACATGACAGCTGCATCATCTTGAGTTCATGAAAGAAAAAATCACGTGAACATATTAAGCCATTTAATGTTACGCCGAAACACACCTGATCTGGGCGCATGAGCATTGCTAAACTCTTCAATGTCTTCCCGATCTCTAGCATTTTCAGATAGAACACGTTGTTTTGCATGGCGTTGTAGGCTTCCTCTGGGTCGACGTGAATCAGACTCAGCTGAGGATACTGGGGACCGCTTGAAGAAGTAAAAGTCCCGCACGAACGCCTTCGGATTGTGAATCACGCCTGAAAAAAACTCGAATGTGTCATGATGGTAGTGTCAAGGGATCATGTAATAATCGTGCAGGCGCACTATGTCACAACCCAAACCGGCCATTGAACAAACAAGTCAGATGTTCCTAAGCCCTACATGCAAAGGAGCAGTTCTGATTTAAATTGTTTTGATTGCAAGTTCCGTGAAACACTCGCATAGCAGTGACTGCGGCGTCACGCATGTCCCCATTATTACTCTGATAAATTATTCTTAGGGTTTTGTCTGATCGCAAAGCAGATGACAGCTAACCTAATCAGCATAACAGCCTTAATGACGTGAAACCAAAGACGCGTGCTTTTTGCTCTCCTCGCATTGAACAGTGCGTGCACGAACATATACTGGGCCAGCCAGTCTATTCTGCTCCTCGTGCCCGGCGTAGTTGGCACCTGTTTTGTGGTCGACCAGGAAGTAAGAGCCGTGTTTCTCGCTCCGGGATGCTGAAGAACTCGCGTGCTTCGGTCAGGATCTGGCAGAACTGTGTGTCCTCCTGGATCGGGAACTGGGACGGTATGCCCCCCGCGTCCGGACCTGTAGCACACGGCAGGGATCGGTGTACAGGCCTGACCTGCTGTCCCACAACTTCAAGTCAATGGGCGCAACGCCAGGCGGCAAGGGACCCATGGGGACATACACGATACCTTACCACTGGTCTGCCGCGAAAAACGTGTTGCCTCCGTGTTCTTGCAGTGATTCCGTTGGTTTGGGACTTTAATGATTTCCATCAGCTGGCAGCACATCACATCGGTACGTGCAGTGAGTTGAGGCACGTCTCCAGCCCGGTAACAAATTGTCGTACAAGCACGCCGAAACATCAGTCCTTGGACCAAACTAATTTCCGCTCACGGCAATTCCTGCCTCGAGCAGGATTAAGCGAGACTACAACGTCCGTTAGTCACGAAAAAGATGGAGACGCTGCATTCTGTGTCAGATTACTTACATATGCAAGTTTTGAAGTTCCGTTCTGCGATTGGTATTAGCCATGTGATTGTGTGATTGTGTGATTGTGATTAGCCATTGATAGTGATTCATCACCAATCAAACTTAAATGGCTTAAAATGGCTTAAAATGGCTTAAATGGGCTTAAAAACAAGACATGGACACGTTTATTCCAGAACCTAGGCTAGGAAAATAAATTAAGAAGATAATGAGAGGACAATATTGCGCACGATGATTACTAAAACATGGAACTAACTGCAAACGCCTGTAGCAGAAACTGTCATGTAAACGCCGCCAGATTATTTACGCAATTACAAGAGGATATACCATGTTAAAACGAATGGTCGTCCTCGTAGGGTGAGGGATGGACGAATGGACCTCACCTCGTGGGGTGACGTCGAAATTTTGGGCTTTGCAAGTCTTTGAAATTCCGTAAAGTGATTCTCAAAGAGTCAACCTGAATAACATGGAGCAAATCAAGCCAGGCAAAGAGGATCCACCGCATCATCGTGTGGCACGTTCTATTTCACACAAGTGACCACATTTTATTGCATGACTTTGGCTATCACCAGCGGCGTCAAAAGGTGGTTCATGTCCTGAATGCTCCTAACTAGCAGTGTGATGTTTTTAGCCCGATTTTAGGCTCACGAGGGCTGACATGGCTATGAAGCAATGAGTGCATGTATGGCTGTGTATTTACTGGAAATGCTATACCGTGTACCGGCTCCCAGTAATTTTGTGCTGATCCGCGATAGCTACGTAGCTACTGGCTTATATTCACATGATTAAGCTCGTTTCCGATGCAAACTAACGTGTTGTAAATACAGCTGATATTGTGATCTCGACGTAAGACTGCTGATCATGATCAGAGGCCAGTGGACGAGACGAGTCCTCACCCTGCGGCCCATGCACGATGATCCGCTTGGCCGACGGCACGTTCGCCGTCAGCATCAGCGTCGCGTCGCACTGCTCCTTCCGAAAGATCTGCTTCAGGTCCTTAAACAGGATCCCTTGGATGCCAGGAATCACCTGCGCACGAGCGAAGTTGAATTAATTCAAAGGACGCATTTACCTGGTATCAATATCGTATCTGGAGACAGGCAAACTATTTTTCCTCACGCAAGCTGAAACACACATCGAAACTACCAGCGTGGTCGAAACACCTGTGTTCGTGTCGTTTATCTGGGCATATTGTGATACACTTCTCCAGTCGCGCTCACAAAAGTTGCATGCTGTAACCATATGTCGCTGGCATTATACAGTTCAGGCTTGTTTCACTTATCTCGACAGCAAAACATATCTGAACATTTGCATTAGGATCCACGTACCTGCCAGAGTAGGGTCAGCGAATTGGCGATGTTTTGCGTGGCGTACTCGGAGTTTGAACGTATCTGGAACATGATGTAGCCGACCAGGTAGTTGTAGAGGGCGAAGGCTGTTTGCGGTGGCAACATTGGAAAGGTGTGCACCAGCCGGCGTAAGTACTGGATCATCACCTCCTGACGCTCCCGCGTCAGCTTCTCCAGGAAGTGACGCAGAAATAGCGCACTGTCCTCCACCAGGCACTTCCATATCACCTGCGGATGACGGACCGCGGGGTTATGCGGCGTATGGCTACTCAGTGTGCCTCAGAGCCTGTAGCACAGTCACATCCTTTGGCCTGATATGCCTGAAACGGACACTTGACCCGCTTACGTGAGAGAAGCTCTCGACCAAACTGCCACACCAACAGCGGGGTAACCAGCTGCTGTACAGTCTGCAGACGCAGACAGCGACTTGGTCGGCAGCGGGGAGTGCGCTTGGGCGGCTGCGGTCGCTCCGTTACCCGCTGCGCCACGCAGTAGACGGCCATGCCGTCGGCGGTGACGGCCGTGTCGTCCAGCAGCGCGATGATGCTGGTGGCCGCCGTGCACAGGCACGAAGGGAACATCTGCGGTGCCGACTGGGCGTGCGAGCCGCGCAGCACCTCGGCCGGCTCCTCGTCCGTGGCTGCGGGCGCAGGTGAGCGGCTCAGGTGGCGCCACCGGTCAGCTGGAGGCACGGACCGACGGCGCGCCAGCGGGTCAGACGCACGGCATGGACACAGGGCATCGAACTGGGGCTTGCTGCGAAACCACTTTTGGCAAGTGACATGCTTTCATTTCGGACTGCAACGTTGAAAACTTTTTAAAACGAATGCACCAAAATAGTAGAAAATTCCGCGGCATGCATGATACGCGGACATTAGCGAAAACACATGTGGGGTGATCCCTTTCCTGCACCACGTAATAGCTTCAAACTGTTCATCTAACAACATCAAACTAATACATGCCTAGCACCACCCCGTTTCTAACCTCCGATCTGGTAACAATGCTGATAAAACCTCATAATGTGGTCGAAGTTGCCGTCCGAGGCGCGGTTGCCCAAAGCAGACGAGCGCACCTCAAAATTGCCTGCAAAGTCACCCGTCAATATGACTAGGCGAGCGAGCAAGCCAGTCCATGCAGCCAGATTGAAAAAGCTCTGACAAGGTAGCTACAAAAACGCTATGCTATCATGCTGAGACAATTTGGAGGTGAACAAATCTTATGTACAAAATACACACTCTAGTATACCGCAAAGAAATGACAGGCAATGATTTACAGGTACTGAAGAACGTCCGCAGTCGCACCATACGCTCGAACTAACACGTCAGCAGCGGCCTCATAAAAGGCTATGCACATATAGGAAAATGCGTCACAAAACAAACACGAAACAAATGGGCATCAAATTAGATAACAACTTGCTGCGCGAGTGAATTCCAAGTTGTATTGATGCCAAGTTCACTTACGCAAGTGCAACGTTGGTCATATCTTGAATCGGCTTATATATCTTTTTTGCCTATTTTTGTAACATTTCTATTTAGCGCCAATTAAATAGCTGCATATTTTGGACCATTCAATGCTTCGATGATGACCACTTCCGTGCACATTGCGTGAAGTGCAAAAATGCGAATTTTAGGCAAAATAGCGGGCAGATTAAACAAGTCCATATAAAAATCTAAGGTTGGAGGGATACCGGTACGCATAAGTGTAATCTTGCACAAGTTTGCGTACAAGTCGTGCAAGCTTCACAAATTTCGAGAGATACTCGATGCCGTGCCGCATGGACCGTTAGCATCCCTCGAAGTTTGAGAACCCGACCTCTTTTGCGCCCAAACTGACGCTTCATCTGACTTGCACGCACGCAGATCCCTCCAACTGGACATACCCAGGGTTCACATTCGTTGCAGGCTACCTCTGGGGCTCGCCCCGTCCTGTGAGGCACACGCCCATGGGACCGGCACCTGCGACCGCCTCCACACACCGCTAGCACGTTTAGAAGAAGCCCTGTCCGGCCGCCAGCCGCCGGCCCCCGACGCCGGGCTCGCTCACCCTCGTCGTGTTCGTCGCCGGCCACGTGATAGAAGCTGGGCTCGTGCGCCGCCTGGTAGTTGACGGGTACGGTGCTGATGCGGTAGTTCTCGCGGTCGAGCCGCTTCTTCTCGTCTTCCTTGCGCAGCGCGATCTGCACCAGCTCGGCCTGCTGCTTGCGGCGCGTCTTGCCCGCAGACACGATCGAGTGTAGCTCCTCCTTCAGAGTCACGTCCTCCACCTTACTCTTCACCTGGAGCAGGAGGTGGTGCCCGATCGGACGAGGGGAGGACTGGGTCAACGCACGGGAGATGGCCGAACCACCCGGAGCTGAAGGGTCAGTCGGATCTGGGTAGGTCAGCTAAGGTTTAAGAACCTGTAACGACGGATGCCAATGCCAACGCACGCGCTGCTTTAATCTTTTCAGGTGCAGGTGTTACATTACCGTGGAGGACCGCGCCAAGGCCGATAGTACCTGCGGCATCCAGGAGGGGTCGACCACAGGCAGGGCTTCGATGCCGATCTTGGGCGAAGGCAGTGTGAACTCGATGCCTGGCGGCGGTACCTTGAAGCTGAGGTGCGCTGTGTCTTCCATACGTGGCCAGCACTGGTACCGGAACCGCCACAGCGCCTGGAATCTGAGCACAGAAGCCACAACGCTATCCTGAGAGGACAGTACAAAATTCCAACACAGTTCTTCCTCATGTCACGTTGTACACATAGTGTAAGGTCAGACATAACTGTGGTAGTCTGTGCGCGTTTTATAACAAAAAAAAAAAACAACAAAAAACGCCTGTTCGGACTGTTCGGCCCCTACCAACCAGGGGCACAGCATGAATTTTCTTGAACGGGAGGCTCATTGAGAACGCATCACGCTGATTTTCAGTTGTCTCTCAACAGCCATCTATGGTGGAAAATGAAAAGCATACTGGTCTTATTCCCCCACGTTTGGCGCAGCCCGTGCTATTAATATTGCTATTTTTGCACAGCGCTTCGTCCAGTCACTTCTATGGCTGTTGTCAGCCTACTCCTGGGATGAGCATGGGGTAGTTACTGTAAGACTGTTGAAGATGATGGCTAGTGTTACGTGAGTTATTGTTTTATGTGT